TTGGTACACACGACTTTATTGGTACACACGACTTTATTGGTACACACGACTTTATTAGTACACACTACTTTATTAGTACACACTACTTTATTAGTACACACAACTTTATTAGTACACACTACTTTATTAGTACACACAACTTTATTAGTACACACAACTTTATTAGTACACACAACTTTATTAGTACATACAACTTTATTAGTACACACTACTTTATTAGTACACACTACTTTATTAGTACACACTACTTTATTAGTACATACGACTTTATTAGTACACACGACTTTATTAGTACACACGACTTTATTGGTACACACGACTTTATTGGTACACACTACTTTATTACTACATACAACTTTATTAGTACACACAACTTTATTAGTACATACAACTTTATTAGTACACACTACTTTATTAGTACACACTACTTTATTAGTACACACTACTTTATTAGTACACACAATTTTATTAGTACACACAACTATTAGTACACACAACTTTATTAGTACACACTACTTTATTAGTACACACTACTTTATTAGTACACACTACTTTATTAGTACACACTACTTTATTAGTACACACAACTTTATTAGTACACACAACTTTATTAGTACACACTACTTTATTAGTACACACAACTTTATTAGTACACACAACTTTATTAGTACACACAACTTTATTAGTACACACGACTTTATTACTACACACGACTTTATTACTACACACGACTTTATTACTACACACGACTTTATTAGTACACACGACTTTATTAGTACACACGACTTTATTTGTACACACGACTTTATTTGTACACACGACTTTATTGGCACACACGACTTTATTGGCACACACGACTTTATTGGCACACACGACTTTATTGGCACACACGACTTTATTGGGACACACGACTTTATTGGCACCACACTGACTTTATTGGCACCACACGACTTTATTGGCACAACGACTTTATTGGCACGCACGACTTTATTGGCACGCACGACTTTATTGGCACGCACGAACTTTATTGGCACGCACGACTTTATTGGCACTCACGACTTTATTGGCACACACGACTTTATTGGCACGCACGACTTTATTGGCACGCACGACTTTATTGGCACACACGACTTTATTGCACGCACGACTTTATTGGCACGCACGACTTTATTGGCACGCACGACCTTTATTGGCACGCACGACTTTATTGGCACGCACGACTTTATTTGGCACGCACGACTTTATTGGCACGCACGACTTTATTGGCACGCACGACTTTATTGGCACGCACGACTTATTGCACGCACGACTTTATTTGTACACACGACTTTATTGGTACACACGACTTTATTGGTACACACGACTTTATTGGTACGCACGACTTTATTGGTACGCACGACTTTATTGGTACGCACGACTTTATTGGTACACACGACTTTATTGGTACGCACGACATTATTGGTACGCACGACTTTATTGGTACGCACGACTTTATTGGTACGCACGACTTTATTGGTACGCACGACTTTATTGGTACGCACGACTTTATTGGTACGCACGACTTTATTGGTATACACGACTTTATTAGTACATACAACTTTATTAGTGCACACTACTTTATTGGTGCACACTACTTTAAGGGTGCACACTACTTTGTGGGTGCACACTGTCTTGTGGGTGCACACTGCTTTGTGGGTGCACACTATTTTGGGGGTGCACGCTATTTTTGGGGTGCATGCTGTTTTGGGGTGAACACTGTTTTGCGGGTGCATGCTCAATTGTGTGTGCACACTATTTTGGGGGTGCACGCTGTTTTGGGGGTGCACACTGTTTTGCGGGTGCACACTGTGTTGGGGGTGCATGCTGTTTTGAGGGTGCATGCTCCTTTGCGGTGCACGCTGTTTTGGGGGTGCACACTGTTTTGCGGATGCATGCTCCTTTGCGGGTGCATGCTGTTTTGGGGTGCACACTGTTTTGCGGGTTCATACTCTTCGCGGGTGCACACTGTTTTGGGGTGCACACTGTTTTGCGGGTGCACACTCCTTTGCGGGTGCATGCTGTTTTGGGGGTGCACACTGTTTTGGGGTGCACACTGTTTTGGGGTGCACACTGTTTTTGCGGGTGCACACTGTTTTGGGGTGCACACTGTTTTGCGGGTGCACACTGTTTTGGGGTGCACACTGTTTTGCGGGTGCATGCTCCTTTGCGGGTGCACACTGTTTTGGGGTGCACACTGTTTTGCGGGTGCACACTGTTTGGGGGTGCACACTGTTTTGGGGTGCACACTGTTTTGGGGGTGCACGCTGTTTTGGGGTGCACACTGTTTTGGGGGTGCACGCTGTTTTGCGGGTGCACACTGTTTTGGGGGTGCACGCTGTTTTGCGGGCGCACCCTCCTTTGCGGTGCCTGCTCTTTCAGCCCTGTGAAGACGCAGAGGGTCACCACTGACTCGCAGCCTCGGGGGAGACAGTGGCAGAGCCAGGGCCGGTCTCCAGCTCCAGGCTGAGCCGGTCTCTCCTCACGTGGGAGTGAGCTCGCGGGCGGGGCCTGCCCAGCCACCCGTGTCCGGGACCCCCTGTGCCGCCCCCTCGCTGCGCCCACCCTCCCGTTGCCTTCCTTCTGCTCAGGGACTGAGACGGTGGCCCAGGCGGAAGGCTGCAGGGCCGGCGTGCAGGCCAGGGGTGAGGCCCGCGAGGTCTCCTCCTATGGCGGCTGCTGGGGCGCCTTCCAGGAAGGAGGCGACAGAGGCACCCCGAGTCCTAAGGTGCTCGTGGCATCGGGTCTCACGCGCCACTTCTGAGACTCGGTTTTAAGGAAAGAACCAGAACAGACCCGGTGCTTCCCAGGCAGGTCCGCCTGTCCGCGCAGGGCTCGGGGGGAGGGGCGCCTGGCGGCTGCAGAGCGAGGCAAGGTCCGCTGCAGGCTCCGGGTGCCCTTCGAGACCTAACGTTGCACACTCACACAGGCGTGCCTGCACACGCGCACACAGACATGCAGGCACACCTATCACACAGGCACACATGCACACACAGGCACATGTGCACAGAGACATGCAGGCACCCACATATGCACACAGGCACACACACAGGCACATGTGCACAGAGACATGCAGGCACCCACATATGCACACAGGCACACACACAGGCACATGTGCACAGAGACACACTGGCACCCACAGGCACATGTGAACACGCATGCATACATGCACACAGGCACCCTTGGACAAGTTTAACAGTGTCCCCCAAAATCCATGTTCACCCCGAACCTCAGGACGGGACCTTATTTGGAAATGGGGCCTCTGCCGCTATACTCAGTTAAAATGAGGTCACACGTGGCGAGGACACGCAGAGGACAGGCCACGTGACTCTGGGAGCCGAGGCCGCCCCAGAGCGCAGGCGGCGCAGGAGCTGGCGGGGTGTCGGCGGGCGGGGGTGGGGCCTGCTCTCCTCAGAGGGAAACGCTGCCCACAGTGGGGGCTTGGGTTCCGGACTGAGACCTGGGGGAGGACAGACCGTGTCCTTTGCACGGCAGCCCCAGGACGCTGACACCCCGCACTCCCCGCACCCCGTCCCCAGCTCATTCTCTGCCCTGAGGGCACCCGGACGCTGTGCGCGTGCGGGTGAGAGCGGCCGCTCCTGGGAGAGGAGGTCCGTGCTGTCCCTCCGGCTGCGGGGCTGCGGGTAGAGGGGCGCCGGGCGCCGGCCCCGGCCCTCGGGCCCCCGGGCGGTGGGGGAGCCGTCCCAGGGGAGCACTAAGAGTCCACGTTGAACCCAGGCACGTGGCTCGGGGGCTGAGCGTCGACGCAGGAACCAGGAGGTCAGGGTTCAGCCCCCAGTCGGGGCACAGGCCGGGGTGCGGGCTCCATCCCCGGTGGGGGGTGCGGAAGGCAGCCGATCAGTGATTCTCTCTCGTCGTCGATGTTTCTACCTCCCTCCCCCTCCCCCTTCCGCTCTGAAATCAATAAAAAGATATTTTTTTAAAAAGTACGTTGATACTGTGCCTTCCGGACCCCCCAGGGACACAGACCAGGAAGCCGCGGCCCCCCAAATCCAGCCCCGCCCACAGGAGGCGCCTGGGGAGCTGCCACCTCCCGACCCGCCCCGCCCGGCCCAGCCGCCTGGTAGCTGGAACCGCGAGCCCCCACCCCCCACCCCCAGCTGCCAGCCTCGCTCCGCCCGCCTTCCGTGGGCTCCTGGCACCACCAGAATAGAACTCTGTTTAAAAGCCTTTTCCCGGCTCTTTTCCCCGCCCGCCGGGTAAACATGCAGCAGAAATAGCAGCCTGCAGGCTGGGGGGGGCGGGGGGCGGGGGTTGCTGCGGCGGATCAGCCCCAGCTCCTGCCCGGTGGGCCCGGCTGTGTGGGCGCTGGCGGCACAGAGCGGCTTTAAATAGCTCCCCGCGGGCTTGTGCAGTGAGGGGCGCCCTGCAGCCCGGCAGGCGGAGGGCTGGGGGCGGGCAGGTCCTGGCAGCGCTCGGTGGCCCGCCAACCTCTGTGCCGGGGAGCCAGCCGCTCCGCCGGCTTTGAACCCGCCCCCGTGTCCCCGGGGGCCCTGGCAGAAGGCTGGGCCTTAGGCAGGACCTGGGTGCCCGGGAGGAGGGTGGGGCCAGCAGTCTGACCCAGCCGGTGTCGTTAGCGTGCCACCCCCGGGAACTCACCCCAGGAAGGAGGGGAGCGGTGCCTCTGCCCGGGGTCACCCAGACCAGGGGGTGCTGGGCAGGGGCAGGGAGAGAGGGCTGCCTCTCTTGGGCAGCACTGTCCCCATCTGTCTGTCTGTCTGTCTGCCCAGCCAGCTCCACGGACAGCTCCACGGACAGGCCATCGTACTGTTCTCCCTCTCGTGGAGCTGGCTGGGCTGGGCCGCCACCCCCCGTGGTCCGGCTGACCCAGATCCAGCTCTGCTGTCCTGGCACCCGCTCTCTGCAGCTCCCACTCCTGCTCAGGCTGCAGCCGGGAGCCCCTGCTCTCCGGCCGTCTCACCCCCCCCTCCCCCCCCCGCAAGGACCCGCAGCCTCGTCCCTGGGAGCAGGTGGCAAAGGGGCTGCAGGTGCCAGGGCGGATCTTTAAGGGCAGAGCCTAGAGCTGGGCCAGAGGTGAGCTGGTGAGCCCCATCTGTGGTTTGGGCAGCGGGGCCAGCGCCCGCCTCTGCCCTCTGACAGGGCGGCTCTTTGGGGAGCAGCTGGCCTCAGGGGCCACCCTGCCTGTGGGTGAGCCTCCCTCGCGGCCAGGCCACTGGGCCCCTGGGCGGGCTGTGCCGGGCGGGGGTGGGGCGCGATGGCCCAGCAGGCACCCCTGGAGGTGGCATGAGGTGGGCTCCCCGGGAGGGGCACCTGGGCACAGTAGGACCTGCAGCTGGCGACCTTCCCCACAGAGCCGGCCGCCCGCACAGCTGCCCGATTGCGCTCCTGCTCCCTCCGGCTGAGGAGGCGGCACCGGAAACCGGACCCTCGTCAGAGCTGCTGCCGGGCCTCCCGCGGCCGAGGCCGGCTGGCTGAGCTGTGGCCCTGTCCCCCGCGTCTCCGTCTCCGGAGGCAGTGCAGCTGGGAAGGGGCTGGGGTTTGTGGGGACTTGATGGCCTCTGTCCTCCCATCGCCTCCTCCAGGACGGCACCGTCCCGGCACCACGGCCGTGGGACCAAGACAGGGGAGCCGCTGTGACTCCTGGACGCCCCCCACTGCCCTCCCACCGACACCCCGCACGTGGCCACGTGGCTCAGCCTCTGGAACGCGAGTGTCTGTCTGCGGGTCCCTGTGCCCTGTGCCCGCTGAGCCATGGCTGCTGGGAGAGAGGGCCAGGGGCCGGGGCTCCACTTTATTTCATGCTGGGACCAGAGGCTACGGCGCCCGCTCCGCCCGCTCCCCCAGGCAACGAGCACCCCCACGCCCAGCTGCCTCCACTCCCGGTTCACCCCACGGACGCCCGGGAGTCAGGGTCGTTTCCCGCGTCAAGTGCGTGGCCCCCAGGCCCCGCGCCCCGGCTCAGCCGCGGTCAGGGCTCTGCTGTTGGGTGGAGGAGCTGGGCTGGGCGTCTGCAGGCGGGAGGGCCCCGGGGCGGTGTTCCCGGAGGTGGGGGCGGGCCAGGCGCCGGGGGGCCGCGTGTTCCTCCTGCGTCACGTGGTCTGTCGTGGCCTCCACTCTGGAACTCGCCGGTCCAAGCCACGCGAGGGTCCCTCTCCCCAGAGGCCGGGCGGCAGGAGGCCGGGCGCCCGCTCAGAGAGCGTAAGCCGCCCAGTAAATGACGTTGACGGCCGCGAAGGCCGCGGGGAACACGGCGCGGGCGTAGATGTCGATGGTGTCCGCGTCGATGGGCTTGAAAAGGGAGCGGAGGCCTCCCTGCTTCTCGGCCGGCCCCGCCTCCACCTCCACCGACCGGTAGGAGCCCAGGAGGCTCCCGGGCAGGCGGCTCGGCCGCCGGGACACGGCCAGCTCCTGGGAGACGCCGGCAGCCGAGAGGGAGAACAGCACGATGGCCTGCCTCACGTCCACCTGGGGGGGGGGGGCGTGCAGGAGGCAGCTGAGCCGGCGGCCGGCCTGAGGTGACCAGAGGTGGCCACACGGGACCCCACCATGGCCAGCAGCTCCGTGACCCACGGCAGATGGAGCGGGCGGGAGCTGGGGGGGGAGCGGGCGGGAGCTGGGGGGAGCGGGCGGGAGCTGGGGGGGAGCGGGCGGGAGCTGGGGGGGAGCGGGCGGGAGCGGGCGGGAGCTGGGGGGGAGCGGGCGGGAGCAGGCGGCAGGGGGTCCGGGTTGGGCACAGGAGACAGCCGGCCACCCCAGCGCCCTGTGTTTTGCGGGGAGGGAGCTGTCCTTGGTCCTGAGCTCCAGGGAACCAGCACAGCCCGTCCTCACCTCTGCCCTCCGCTCCGTGACCTTGACCTTGGCCTTTTGCTTCCTCCGGTAGTCGGCGTTGAAGTGGGCGAAGGCGTATTCCACCAGCGCGGCGAAGACGAACACGTAGCAGATCCAGAAGTACACGTCCAGCGCCTTGATGGCCGACGCCCGCGGGAGGGAGGAGCGGGCGCTGACCATCAGGGTGGTCATGGTCAGCACCGTGGTGATGCCTGTGGGAGGCAGGGGTGCTGATCCCACCGCCCGTGGGGGGGGGGGGGGCGGCCGGCTCAGGAGGCCGGGGCCAGGCCTGGGTTCGTGGCTGACGGGGTCCCGTCCTGCTCCCTGGGAGGGGCGGTTGGGCTGGTACCTAGGGACACCCTGGCAGGCACGGCTGCCTGGCTGATCCAGAAGGAGACCCAGGACATGGCGACCAGCAGGACGGAGGGCATGTAGGACTGGATGATGTAGACGCCCCGGTTCCTCCGCAGGTGGAAGTACAGGCTGAGCCGAGGGAACTGGCCGGCTGCGGGGGGGGGGGGGGGGGGGGGAGGGCAGCCGTCAGGACCCAGCACCACCCTGCCCCTCCCCATGCCCCTACCACGGCCCTCGGGCCCCTGCGAGCCTCAGAAGGAAGGAGGGCCCTGGACCCCTGCCTTCACCACCGCTCCCCGAAGCCTGGCCACCCAGAGGGAGGAGAGTGGGAAGATTTCCTAGCAGAGGGGCCGGCCCTCCCCTCCCGGCCTGGCCCCCTCCCCGCACGGCTGAGCTCAAGGAAAGAATGGGGCTGGGATCAGGGCCCCGACACCAGGACACCAGGCAGCCCCCAGGCCTTGGCCCTGTGCACCCCGCACCCCCCAGGTGGCCCCCAAACTCAAGGTGCCACTACCCCCGGGAAGCAACAAAGGACCGAGGAGTGAGACAGAGGAAAGCTGGCCCAGGCCGGCACGGGGGCGCAGCCGGTGCCCGCCAGCGGTTGACCGCTGACCCTCAGGTCCCGGAGCTGCCAGGGCCTCGGCGGAAACGCGGGAGCCGGGCTCCCAGGAAGAGGCGGCGGCCACGTTACCCGACTTGAAGTTCATCAGCTCGGTGGTGAAGCGGTAGCTGGTGATGGTGAACTGGGCCAGCTGCAGCTTGTCCAGCCCGTGGATCTGCTGCTGGTTCTCCGACCAGTAGTACACGATGTCCTCAGCCGAGTAGCCGTCTGCGGGGAGGCCATGTGGGCAGCGGAGCCCAGGCCCAGCCCCCCACCCCCACCCAGGGGAGCCCACACGGGGCGCCAGGACCAGGGAGGCCTCGGCGGGTGGGGGGGCCCGGGAGCTGGCGCGAGTGCAGGTCCCCGTCCCCAGGCGGCCGGCCCAGCCGTGCAGGTCCGTGCCTCCCTGGGCTCCAGGCCCGGCTGCGGGGCACCCACTCCTGCTCCCCCCCGGGTTCAGGCTCCCTGGATGCCCGTCCCGGTCACTCCCTGCCCCTGAGCCAGGCCAGCTGCACAGGGAGGGCCCAGCCAGCCCGAGCCCCTGCCCGCCCACAGCAAGGTCCCCGAGACGCAGGCGCCGCCCGGGAGCCGCCGGCACTCACAGCTTTCCAGATGCAGCATGCACTCCTGCTCGTCCATCGGGTACTTGGCCAAGTCCATGTCGCAGGCCACCGTGGCGGTGATTCTGTGCGGACGACACAGCAGGGAGGTCCCAGGGGGAGGCAGGCCCTGGAGGCTGGCAGCTCCCTGACCCAACGGGCAGAGAGGCCCTGTGCCCGCCCGAGGGCCCCTCCCAGGAGCCCCGGCCTCGCCCGTGGGCTTGGATGGCAAGGTGCCGGCTCCTGGGTGGACAGAGAACGGGTCTCTTTATTGGGGGGGAGGGTCTCCCTTCAAGAATGCAGGACGGGCCCTGGCCAGTGTGGCTCAGTGGGCAGAGTGTCGGCCTGTGGACGAAAGGGGCCCCGGTTTGATTCCTGGTCAGGGCACAGGCCTGGGTTGTGGGCTCGATCCCCAGTGTGGGGCGAGCCAGAGGCAGCCGATCAATGATTCTTTCTCATCATTGAAGTTTCTCTCTCTCTCTTCCTCTCTGAAATCAGTAAAAATATATTTTAAAAAAACGAATGAAGGACTGGATTTCATTCACTTTCTTCATCCTTCAAAACGCTGTCCTTGGCCTGGGGGGGGTTGGAGGGGGTCAATGGGGGGAAAGGAGACATATGTAACACTTTCAAAAATAAAGAACAATTTTTTAAAAAACAAAAGAGAGAAAATTACAAAAATTCCAAAAAAAAACAACGCTGGACTTGGTGGCTGAGCCGGGGCCCAGGGGCGGAGCTCTGGTTAGGATCTCCAGCCAGGTTCTGTAGCCATGTTCCCTCGCTAGGTTCTCCAGCCAGGTTCTGTCCAGGTTCTGTCCAGGTTCTGTCCAGGCCTTCCCGCTGACCTGGGTGGTAGCAGGCCCAGCGGCCAAGCGGCCTGGTTTTCCAAGAGAATTTCGATTCCTATGTAAACCTCCTGGTTTCTAAAATGTTACCAATTAATCCCATGTTTAAAAGGCAGGTGTCAGAGAACACGTGTTCAACTACACGGACACGCACGTTCGTAGCTGTGCCGCTCACAGTTGCCCGAAGGGGGACCCCGCCCGGCGCCCCTGGGTGGGCGCGTGGACGCAGACACTGGGGGACCCGGGTGGAGCATCGGCCGGAAGAGGAATAAAGTCATGACCCATGTTACGACGTGGATGTGCCTCACAGACTCCACGCCCAGCGAAGCAGGCGACACGGGGTCACCGTCTGGGACGCATCGACACAAAGTGTGTGCAGAAGGGGCAGGTCCAGAGGCAGAGGCTGGTGATTTCCGGGGTGCTGGGGTCCAACCCCAGCAGGTCCAGGGGTTCCCAAAGGTGTAGATGGAGTCAGCGAAGAAGGAATGACACGGAGACAGCGTTCAGTTGATCAGCAGCCTAGCCAGGATCTCTAGCCAGGATCTCCAGCCAAGTTCTGGTTAGGATCTCCAGCCAGGTTCTGTGTCCATGTTCTCTTGCTAGGTTCTCCAGCCAGGTTCTGTCCAGGTTCTCCAGCCAGGTTCTGTCCAGGTTCTCCAGCCAGGTTCAGTCACCAGGTTCTAGTCAGGTTCTCTTGCCATGTTCTAGCCAGGTTCTGTAGCCAGGTTCTGTCTCTATGTTCTTCAGCCATGTTCTCTCGCTAGGTTCTGTCTCCAGGTTCTGTGGCCAGTTTCTGTCCAGGATCTTTTGCCATGTTCTCTCCAGCGAAGTTCTTCTGTCTCTAGGTTCCGTATAGGTTCTGTGTCTAGGTTCTGAGTCCTGTTGTCTTGTTACATCTGTATTTATACCAGTTGATTCCAATCCTATCAATCTCTATTCCAAAGGTTAGGGCGTTTCTTATCTCCATTCCAGGGAGTAAAGATTATGTAGCTTAAGCATGATTGTTCGTAGTTAAAGTGATTAACTACCCACCTGGCACTTAGTTAAGAGGTTTTATTCCCTCCCTAACTTCAGGGGAAAATCCCTACCTGGGGAAACAACCTTTCTCAGAGAGGTGAGCTTGGTTAAAACACATAGTGCCAAGAAGGTGAGCAAACATATTAAGAACAGTATGCCATATGTGCCAGGTCCCTTGAAACAGCAAGCATGGACCGGCTCCCGGCACCGGGGTGCGGGGGGGGAGGGGAGCAACCACGTCATGGGTGCAGGGTCTCCTTTTGGGGGGATGACATGTTCTGGAGCTAGACTCTAGCTGCTCGACAGAGGCGATGTTTGCACAACATCCATCGTGCTGCTCGGTGTCACTGAACTGTTCATTTGTTCGTCCTCAACCGGAGACATTTTTCATTGATTTTAGGGAGAGGGAGAGAGGGAAGGGCAGAGAGAAGCATCGAGGTGAGAGAGACACGTCGAGTGGTTGCCGCCTACCTGCGCCCTGACCAGGGCCTGTGCCGGGGAGGAGCATGCATCCGAGGTGCCTGCCCTTGACCGGAATTGAACCCGGACCCTTCGGTCCACGGGCCGGCGCTCTACCCACTGAGCCACACCAGCCAGGGCTGAATTGTTCATTTTAAAAGGGTTCATCTTACGCCATGTGAATTCTGCCCCAATTTTTTAAAAAAAGGTAGCGGCCGCGTTGGCCAGAAGCTGAATCTGCCGGCTGCCGCTGGCAACCTCTGCCGTCAGCGTTGGCTGGGCAGTGGCTGCTGGTCGGAGGGAGTAAATAGCGCCCTCCCCGCCCCCCGTGGTCCCGGGCTCCGGCGGCGGCTCACCGGATGCTGTACAGGATCACCCCGTCGGGCTGCAGCCGGATGAGCTTGTTCTCCACGGTCACGTCGTGGAACCAGGCGGACTTGGCGTTGACGATGAAGGTGTCGGGGAGCCAGAGCCAGTCCACGAAGCGGCTGTCCAGCCCCAGCGTCTCGTTGGTGTGGTTGTAGGACAGCCGGCCGTCCCGCCAGCTCTGGTGCAGGAACACGGTCATGGTGTACTCCTGGGGGCGGAGGGCCTGCCGTCAGCCGCCGTCCTGGGGCGCCCGGTCCAATCCTGGGGCGCAGGCAGCAGAGGCGGGCACACCTACCATGTTCACCTCGGAGATGTGGTCGATGCTGGCTACCTCGATGGCAAGCGCCACGTTCACAGGGGGGCCTGCGGGGAGGGAGCAGGCTGAGGCCAGACTCTGTATGCACACACACACACATACACACATGCACACGCACGCACACACACATGCACGGACCCAGGCCAGGAAAGCCCCGGCAGGCGAGACTGTGACCAGCCGAGCTTTAGGAGGGAGCCGTCTCGGGACAAGCCTGCAGCGAGGTCTAGGGGACCCGCCTTCCCAGCTGTGTCCCTGGGGGGCCGGCGCTCAAGGGGAGCCAGCCCCGGGCCAGGGGTCACCGGCCCCGCTGGGCTCCGGCCCCGCCCGCCGCCCGCTCACCTCCGATGCAGGGGCGGAAGTTCCGGGCATAGCCCTCCATGAGGTGGTCCAGGTTGGGCAGCCATGAGATCTCCAGGTTGGAGCCCACGTAGTCCCCGATGTCGTTCATCGCCCTGGAAACGCAGGCCCAAGGTCGCAGGCGGCACCAGGACGGGCCTGGGTCCCGACCCGAGGCTGGGCCAGTGGACAGGGAGGGTATCCAAGAGCGCTCCAGGCCAGGGATCATGCCGGAGACGGGCCCGGGGAGGTGCCGAGCCCAGGGCTGCTCCATTTGTCCACCGGCCCCGGCTCAGCCTCTGCCCCCCCAGCTGGGCCTGGACAGAGGCCGTCAGGGTCAGGCGGAGCCCCAGCCTGGGAGCCTCCCCCCGGCTCCCTCCACCAACGGCCCCCAGAGGGCAGCCAGCCCAGAGCCCCCACATTAGGGCCTCCCATCCGACAGGCCTCAGGGGACCCCGACAAGGGCCCGTTGCCCCTCTCGGCCCCCAAGGAGGAAGCGTCCTGCAGGAGGGACTCAGAGCGAGGCTGCAGGAGCAGGAGGGTGAGGGCCAGGGAAAGGGAGGGGCGGCCGAGGTCCCAAACCTGCCCCGGGCCAGGCCGAGAGCCCGAGGGGGCGGGGGGGCGGGGGCAGGTGCAGCTGCCTCCCGACCGCTGGCCTCAGAGCCCCCATTGCCATGTGCTTCTGGAGCTGAGTCTGACCAGGAAAAGCGGGGGGCCAGCCTCCTGGTTGCAGGGAAGTCCCACTGACACCCTGGCAGCTCCTGTGGGTGCCACACGCCTGGCGGGCACCTGGAGTCCCACACACGCCGACAGCCTGAAGCACACGGAGCTCCCCGGGGGCTCCCCCGCTCACCCGCCCTGGGGTGGGCAGTGGCCCCAGAACTCACGCCACCCAGACCTCAGAGTGGGAGCTTATTGGGAAACGGGCTCTTCGCAGGGGGATTGGCTAAGAGGAGGCCACACTGGCTTGGGGTGGGCCTGTACCCAGGACTGGCATCCTCATCGGAGAACAGACACGCGGGGAGCCACCCGCCCTCCCAGGCCCAGGCAGCCCAGGCCTGAGGCCCCGGGAGCGGGGAGGGGCTCCAAGTGGACGCTCCCCACGGCCTCAGGAGGAAGCAACCTGCCGACCCCTGGACCACGGTCGTGGCCCCAAAACTGGGAGAGGACCCGGCCCCCAAGTTTGGGGTCGCCTGTTTCAGAAGCCCCGGCAACTCACACCCACATCCAGCCACAGGGGGCCCCGCGGTGGGGAGCAGAGCCGGGAATGACGGGGGGCATCCAAGAATAACTCTCCCCCGGCCCGCGGGGCTCAGCGGTTGAACTTTGACCTATGAACCAGGAGGTCACGGTTCCGTTCCCAGTCGGGGCACGTGCCCGGTTGCAGGCTCGATCCCCAGTAGGGGCCGCGCAGGAGGCAGCCGGTCAATGGCTCCCTTCTCTCTCGTCACTGATGTCTCTCTCTGTCCCTCTCCCTTCCTCTCTGAAATCTATACGCATATTTACATGCATATTTATACTGATGAATATATATATTTTTATGAACAACTCTCCTGTTTGTTAGTCTCTGAATCACTTCTTTTCCGACAAGGTCACCTTGGGCCCACGCCTGGCCTGTGCCCGTGGGGGAGACGTGAGGGACCCGGAGGCTGCTGGGAGCCCTGAGCCTGGCCGGAGACTGACCCGCCCGCCGGAGGCACCACTGCTGCCCAGGTGCCCACGCTGGGCTCTTCCTTCGGCCGCCGTCCCTTCTGCCCACCACCCTCTGCCACTCCGCCCCTCCCCCAGCGGGGGCCCAGCCCGACCCCCCCGCATCCTGCTCCCTCAGGGACTGTGTCCTTGTCATCGGCAGCCGGGCACCCAGCTCCGGCTCCCTGGTGCCCGTCCGTGCAGCCAAGCTGAGGCCCCATGTGCGGCCGCCGTGTCCAGCCCCTTGCCCAGCGCCCCACGTGTGAGTGGACGGGACCCACTGAGACAGAAGGGGGCCTGGCCCAGCCCGGGGCCAGCAGGGGCCTCTCATTTCTGGAGCCGCAGCGGGTGGGGCTGGAGCTCCAGGGCCGAGTGTACAGCCCAGCCGAGCTGCCAGGCCCCTCCCCCTGTGCTCTCAGGGGGCCCAGCACTCCTGGGGCTGCCAGGGTTGGGGAGACCCCTTGTCTGTTTCATACGTGGCCTTTTGAAGAATTGACCTTGAACCAGGAGCTTCTTAGCTGATGACACTTGCAGACCCTCAACCTGTCCCGCGGGCCCACCGTGGTGACGGCCGGGCCCAGGATGGGGGGGCAGGAGCTTTGTAGCAAAGGATCAAAAGGAATGAAAGACGTCCCGCCCCGGGAAGCAGCTTTAAAGGACGATGGAGGCCACGCTGAAGGTCGCTGTAAAGGATTGGGAATAGGCGTTATTTTTGGACCAGCCCAGCTGCCACCCAGCGGCAGCGCAGCCGGAACCAGGTCGGCAGGAGATGCGGTCCTTCCAGGGCCTGGGCTGTCGGCCGGGTGACGCACTCCTTCCCCCCATCCCACGCCCACTCGGGGCGTGAGGGCCAGGCCGGGGTCAGCCCTGGGCAGCCCCACCGTGAAGCTGGCCCGGAAGCGGCTGGACACCAGGAGATGGCTCAGCCTCTGCGACCTCGGCGGGTGAGGGGACAGGCTCTCCCTGATGTCGCTTCCCACCTAGGAAGGCGCTGGTGCCCCCGGCTGTGTAGGGCTGGGGCGGTCCAGACGCCAGGAGGGCACGCTACATGCCAGTCCGGGTCCTGAGAGGCAGGAAGGGGTGGGCGCCCCGCGGGGAGCTCAGCGGGGAGCATCTCGGGAGAGCGCTGCTGGCCCGTGACGGCCCAGGACCCCCCGGTGGCCTCGGGCCAGGGTTCCCTGTGGGGAGATGAGAAGTGCAGGGACATGGGCCGGGCTCAACCCCCGGGCGGAGTGGCCACCGTGGGTGCCGGCAGCCCCCGCCCTGCGCCCTGGGTGCCGGCAGCCCCCGCCCCCTCCCGCCCCTGTCACCGCCCGTGCCCCTGGGGACAGAAGGGGAAGGTGGGTGTACGGAGCAGAGCCGGGGTCCTCCTCCCCCAGGGCCCCCCCCTCGCACACACACAGCCCACGGATCCCTGACGGCTCTGTTTTTAGAGCAACACCCGCCGCGCTGGCACCACAGTTACCAAGGCAAAGAGGAGCCGCCAGGAGTGCACCGTGAGCTGGAGGCAGGAGCTGCGGGCGCGGCTTCTCCAGGGAGATGAGGTGCCAGCAGCAGCGAAGGCCACCCACGCAGCGTGCAGCTGGTGAGTGCGGTGCCCACGGGGGAGTGATGGTCGGACTCAGGGGAGGCGCGGCTCTGACCGGCCCACCAATGCTGCAGGCACACGCTTCTCACCCCACAGAGCTCTTCCCCCCGACCCCGGCCTGGGCCACGCCGAGCAGCCAGGACAGGCACAGGCACCCCTGTGAGTCCCACTGTACCCCCTGCAGCAGGGGTGAGGACCTAGACAGAGGGGCGAGGGGTGCAGTCCTTCTGCTTTCCGGGGGGAAGGGACATGGAAGCCATCTGCAGGTCGCCGCGGAGGGCCGCCAAGCGCAGGCTCTCCTAGGCCGGGCCACGGCCTCACAGCCCTTCCGCACACCCAGGCACGTCCTCGCCCACACCCAGGGACCAGGCGGGGTCGGCGTTCAGAATGTGTCAGACTCCAGACAGGCGGCAGGGTGCCGGGCAGACCTAGGGGGCTGGAGCACGTCCCAGCGGGACATGTACAAACGCCCCGAAATAGGGCGGTGAAGGCAAGCGAACCCCTTGTCTGAGCGAGACAGGCTCTCCCGCCAGATGAGTTTTGGGGTCACACTTGGGCTAAGATGTTAGGGCTCAGAGAGCCTTGGATTTCAGAGGTCGTGGCCGTGGCCGTGGGCCTGGGTCGCCAGCGGATCGGGGCGTCCAGCGGCCGCGGCGACGGCGCCTCCACCTGCCCCTCCAGGTTCTGGGCAGGAGGGAGGAGGGAGCAGGAAGGTCCGCGGGGCTGATGAAGAGCACAGCCCCCCCAGGACGAGGACGCGGACGGCGAGTCAGCCTGCCCGGGACCCTGGCGCAGCGGCCAGGCGCTGCCAGCCCCAGGCCTCCCTGCTCTGCCCCCCACGACACTGACAAGGAAGCTCCGACCACATCCCCCCCCCCAGGACGGGCTGCCCGAGCGCCTGCAGCAAACAGGCTGGCGGTCAGCTGCTCAGCTCTATGTCCTTTGACATCAGTGGGCTGACCGCCATGCCCCAGGTGGGGGGGAGTTGTTTTTTGTGTGTTTTTTTGTTGTTGTTAATCCTCACCTGAGGATATTTTTTTCCATTGATTTTTTACAAAGAGTGGAAGGGAGGGGGTGAGACAGAGAGAGAAACATCAATGTGAGAGAGGCACGTCGACTGGCTGCCTCCCGCACGCTCCCCGACCAGGGCCGGCATCGAGCCTGCAACGAGGGTCCGTGCCCTCGAACCTGCAACCCTTCAGTCTGCGGGCGATGCTCTAACCACTGAACGGCCGGCCATGGCTGGGGGGGGGTGCCTGTTTTGGCTCTGGTTTCTCTGCAGAGCCCTCTCACCAAAAGGCCCTCCGCTCCCATGGGAGGTGGCCAGGCCAGGGCTCAGGCCGCTGGGCGGCTGGTGCCCAATTCAAGTCCCCAGAGAGGAGAAGAGCAAGCAGGGCCGGAGCTGGTCCCGGGAGCCAGAGGGAGGGCTCCCAGCCTGGGAAGGGGGCCCCGTGCTTCTCTGGGGGACGGGCACTCATCCCCTCCCGACTGTAGGGGCGCCTGGCTGGCTCCCGCCTGCACATCCAGGGCTCAGGGGGCGCCCTTTGAATTGGCCCCGGAATGGAGACCCCCGCGCTCTCCCCTCATACAGCCCGGAGGACCGAGGACCGCCTTCCTGTCGGCCCAGCCCCGCTCCGGGACCAGGACCTGGGGGACAGCCCTGCTCACGGAGCGGGAGCGGCCGCCTCCTGTTCCCGGGATCGCGCCTTCCCTCCTGCCCGCAGCGACGCCTAGAAGGACACCCGCCGGCCGGGGACCCTCCAGGCAGGGACCCGCCAAGTGCCGGGGCTCCGGGCGGACCTGGGAGCGGCTCCCGCCCGCCTCCCGCCCCGCCGGGCCGGTTCAGCACCCGGGCGGCGGACAGCGCCCCGCGCGCCCACCCTGCGGGCGGGAGTCCGGGGAAGAGGGAGACCCACACGCGGAGACGGGGCGGGGGGCGGGGAATAGGGGGCGAACTCGGGGTGGGGGGCGGGCACGGGGTGAGGGTGGGACAGGGCGCGAGCGCGGGGTATTCGTGGGGGGCAGACACGGGGTGAAGCTCGGTTCGCCCCGGCTCCCTCCGGCCGCCCGGGCTCGGCGGCGGCGCGCTCACCTGGTGCCGCGGGGCTGCTGCGCGCAGAGCAGGAGGAGCGGGGGCAGCAGCCGGGCCAGCTCGTCCATGGCCTCGGGGTGCCGGGCGCCGGGGGGCGCGGGGCCGGGGGCCGGCAGGTCGCGGGCGCTCGCGAAGTTGCTTCCCCGGCGGCCGCGGCGGCGCACAGGCGGGCGGAGGCGGGAGGGCGCGCGGCGCGGGGCGGGCGCGAGGGCGGAGGAGCGCACGGAGGAGCCGCCCCACCTGGCGCCCCGCCCGCTCGGCGCCCGCCGACTCCTCCCCCCGCCCCCCAGCCGCGAGCACCGCCCCCCGCGATCCCGGCCTGGGGTCCGGCACGCAGTCCCACCGCTGCCCGTCCAGGTGGCGGCTAGCCGGGTCCCTGCGCGCACAGCCCGGGGGCGGCGGCCTCCCGTGCCGGGTCTGGGGCCTTCGGGGACGCACGGGCGGGAGGACTTGTCTCCGAGGCGGAGTTTTCCAGTTTGTGGGGCTGTTTGCGGGGCTCGCGGGCCAGAGGAGCTGATTGGGGCGGCGCGGGGGTTGGGGTGGGGGTGCTGGCGTCCCTGCAGCCTCGCCTTCTCCTGGGGGAGATCCCACCAGCACCTCCTTCCAAAACTCTCAACACAGTCTGACCGGTGTGGCTCAGGGGTTGAGCACCGACCTATGAACCAGGAGGTCACGGTTGGATCCTGGGTTCGATTGCCGGTCAGGGCACAGGCTCAGTTGCGGCCTTGATCCCCAGTGTGGGGCCTGCAGGAGGCAGCCGACCAGTGATTCTCTCTCATCATTGATGTTTCTCTCTCTCATCCTCTCCCTTCCTCTTTGAAATCAATAAAATTATATATATTTTAAAACCTGTCAACACTGAGCCTGAGCAGGTGGCACAGGGAGAGCTCTGCCCACTGCAGCCGGCGGGCGTGAGGGAGAGGGTGGGCCGTGGCTGCTGCCCTGGCCAGGGTTCTGCGGTCACAGCCTGCTCAGGCCAGGCCGGGGTGACCTCTTTGCCAGAGGGTCAGGCCCATCACACCCGTCCACATCTGGCCACACCCTCCAGGAGCCACGCAGACGGCTGGGCCCCGGCCACAGTGGCAACCCCCCCCCATACACCCCCCCCCCCCAGAGCGCTGAGGACGCCGAGGCCTGCACATTTCCTGTTTTAGTTCCTTTGAACATAAAATTCTGCAGCAGTTTCCCAAAAAAAGCTGATCCCCAACTTCAGGCATTTATTCACTCTGGACTCGACGTCAGCTGCCAACAGCCAGTGAGCTGCCCGTGGGGACCCTGGAGGACGGACACTGGTCCTGGGTGGTCTGTCCCAGCGCAGGAGTGGGTGGAGGGAGAGCGGGAGGCTGTGCTGCTGGAGATTTGCACCCCAACCCTGAGTGCCAAGGCTGGAAGGAGGACTGGTCCCCGCTCTCTCCCCCAAAGCCGGAAACGGGCCCCAAGAATGCTGGCCGTGTCTCAGCGGACGTGTCTCCCGTGGGGGGTCCTCCCGCCCTGGCTGACCTGGGTCCGTCCGGTCCGGAAGCCCTGGGCTCCAGGCGCCCACGGGCCGCACATCCGAGTGTGTGACTGGCACCACCCAGCCTCGTTCCCACGTGTCCATCTGCCTGGGTTTGCTGGGGGAGTCGAGGAATTAATTCATGAAAAACAAACAAAAAGCAGTGCCCAGAGCACGGCCAGGCTCAGAGCAAGTGCTGCGAGTGTCCCCGAGGATTATGTTGTCATCCGCCCCCGCCCCGAAACAGGGACCCGTCTGCCTGCTTCTTCATGGTGTCGCCTGTGTCCAAGCCTCTGGCATATACTAGGCCAGTGGTCGGCAAACTCATTAGTCAACAGAGCCAAATATCAACAGGACAACGATTGAAATTTCTTTTGAGAGCCAAATTTTTTAAACTTAAACTATCTAGGTAGGTAATTGTTATTAACGTAATTAGGGGACTCCTAAGCTGGCCTTTGCTAAAAACGTCCTCAATCTGACTGAGGTACGTTCGCTGGGGTCGACCCCTTCCAACTCTCCCATCCACCCTCGTCTTGTACACTTGTTTCAGATCGACGAGTGTGGGTGGGAGAGTTGGAAGGGGTCGACCTCAGCGAACGTACCTCAAAACAAGGTACCTCCCCCGCCCTGCGTCCCACGCCCGTCTTCGCCGCGTCTCCCGTCGCCCGACTGACCGACACCCCCCACTTCTAACGCCACTTCTTCAAAATAGACTCGCCCAGGCCGAAAACCGACTTCTGCGCATGGGCCACGAAGTTTCATCGCACTGTACGTGCGCGCCCGCACGTGGTACTTTGTGGAAGAGCCACACTCAAGGGGCCAAAGAGCCGCATGTGGCTCACAAGCCGCGGTTTGCTGACCACTGCACCAGGCGATTAATAACTGCAGGAACACACTGGCTCAGAGTCTCCGAAGCCAACGCGGGGGGGTGATTGGCGGCCCCTGGCTCCCGCTGCCTTTCAGGCCTGAGCTCTGGGCTCGTGCGGGACGGGCGGTCTCTGCCCTGGTCCCGGCATCTCTCAGAGGCCGTCAGCACCGGACCTTCTCAGTATTTATTTTTTTAATACGTTTTTATTTGTTTAAGGGAGGAGGGGAGAGGGAGAGAGAGATGGAAACATCAATGATGAGAGAGAATCATTGACTGGACGCCTCCTGCACGCCCCCTACTGGGGATCCGAGCCCGCAACCCAGGCACATGCCCTTTACTGGAATCGAACCCGGGATCTCTCAGTCCACAGGCCAACTCTCTAGCCACTGAGCCAAACCAGCCAGGGCAGTATTTTATTTATTTATTTTTTAAATATATTTTATTGATTTTTCACAGAGAGGAAGAGGGATAGAGAGTTAGAAACATCGATGAGAGAGAAACATCGATCAGCTGCCTCCTGCACACTCCCCACTGGGGATGTGCCCGCAACCAAGGTACATGCCCTCGACCGGAATCGAACCTGGGACCCTTGAGTCTGCAGGCCGACGCTCTATCCACTGAGCCAAACCGGCCAGGGCGTTATTATTTTTTTATTTTTTTAAGAGGAGAGAGAGAGAGAGAGAGAGAGAGAGACTGCTTCACTTACTGATGCATTCTTTGGTTGATTATTTATTGTTTGTGCCCTGACCAGGGATCAAACCTGCCACCCCGCGTATTGGGGTGATGCTCTGATCAACTGAGCGACTCGCCAGGGCCGGGACCTTCTCAGCATCGAAAGGAGTGGAGCTGTGGACCCCGCTGCAGGGCCAGGGTGGGCACCCGGCATCGAATCGACTCCTCCCCCTCCAGCCCTGGGGGCAAACGCCCTGCAAAACCCGAGGCCACCTGCAGCCCGGCCGGCGGGGCTCGGAGGCTGAGCGTCGACCTAGGAGCCAGGAGGCCGCGGTCTGATTCCCGGTCAGGGCACAGGCCCGGGGTGGCGGGCTCCATCCCCAGGAGGGGCGTGCAGGAGGCAGCGATCCATGGTTCTCTCTCACCATCGATGTCTCTCTCTCTCCCTCTCCCTTCCGCTCTGAAATCAATAAGAACATATTTTTAAAATAAGAAGCCACCGCCCGAACCGGTTTGGTTCAGTGGATAGAGCGTCAGCCTGTGGACTCAAGGGTCCCAGGTCCGATTCCGGCCAAGGGCATGTACCTGGGTTGTGGGCACATCCCCAGTGGGGAGTGTGCAGGAGGCAGCTGATCGATGTTTCTCTCTCATCGATGTTTCTAACTCTCTATCCCTCTCCCTTCCTCTCTGTAAAAAATCAATAAAATATATTTAAAAAATAAATTAAATAAAATAAGAAGCCACCTGTAGACCCACAGCCCCCCAGCAGCAGCCTCCTCCTGGGACACCAGGGGTGCTCACAAACCCGAAACCTAAAGGCCCCCCCCCTTCCCCAGGCGGGCGCGCTTCACGGGCACCGCGTGGCTCCTGTCGGCTTCCGCTGGGGTCTGGAGAACGGGGTTCTCAGGGTTCCTTCTCCAAGGTGTTTGGGGCGCTGCTGAGCCTGCCTCACCCCACGGCATCAGCTCCGCCCAGACTCGCTGCGGAACGGGGAGAGCCACCCGGGCCCAGCACAGCCCGGAGAGCAGCCCTGGTCCCGGCCCCGCCCGACCCCGCAGGGCCACACCCGGACAGAAAACGCCTCACTCTGCTGGGGAGGGGCACGGGGCCCAGCTCTGCTCCTCCCTGGCCCTGCGGCCTCACAGGGGACTTTGCCGGCTTTTTTTTTTTTTAATTGATTTGAGAGAGAGAGGAAAGGAGAGGGAGAGAGAGAGAAACATTGATGAGAGAGAAACATCAGCATCGATAGCTGCCCCCCCCACCCCCTCCCTTACTGGGGATCGAGCTGGAGACCCCCCCCCCCCGGGCATGTGCCCTGACAGGGGATCGAACTGGCGACCTCCCCGTGCAGGGCGGATGCCCAACCACTGAGCCACACCGGCCAGGCAACTTCGTTGGTTCATTTGCAAAGGGAGGTCGTGAGAGGGGCAGCTGGTGTCCTGGCCCCGCCAGTCCGGGGGGCTGACCGCGACTCCAGAGAACGGGCTTCCTGACTCGGGCAACAGGCCGTTTTCTCCGGAAACACGTCGATCTGGCAGGCTCCCCACCACCGCCCTCCTCCGGGCACCCTCGGGCAGTCCCTGTGCTTCCCCTCCCCGGGGGTTGGGGGAAAGGGGGACCCCACCTCCAAGTGCGACTTCGGTGAACCTTTCAGCATAGTGAGCGGCTTCTGTCGGTGGGAGGCCCCTGCCTCCGGCCAGGTCTGTGCTGGTCCCCGGACGCCTGGGCGACCCCCCTGGTCTTGGCAGTCGGGACAGCCCAGGGCAGGGGGCCTGGTCCCCGGCCACGGGACAGAGGTGACAAAGCAGCTCTGGGGTCCTCGCCAGCGCACCAAGTGCCCTAAGGCGCCAGCTGTCCCCGCGCTGCCCCGAGTTCTGGCCCTGGGTCAGGCACCCGCACGACCCCCAGCCGTGGCCATTTTTTTTTTTTTTTTAAATTCTCACCCAAGGATATTTTCCCATTGATTTCAGAGCGAGAGGAAGAGAGAGGGAAACACTGTGAGAGAAACATATCGATGGGTTGCCTCCTGCACAAGCCCCGACCAGGGCCCGGGTTGGGGAGGAGCCCGCAACCAAGGTACGTGCCCTTGACTGGAATCGAACTCAGGACCCTTTGGTCCGCAGGCCGATGCTCT